CATGTTTTCATGCTAGTCTTTCAAGGAAAATTGATACCTTAATATACTATGCTTTTCCAAATTGCTTCTCGATGTCAAATATGTTGAAAAAACTTACTTTTTGTAAATAAATTCAAAATTTTAAAACATCTTTTTTGTATAACGATTTCAACTGAAACTGTTATATAAATATTACATGTATTCCAAATTGATCCTGGTGTCAATACTGTGGTAAAACACTTTTTTAACTGGATTTCTAAAGGAAAATATCAGTTACTAATTTGGTGATGTACAGCGGGCGGGCGGGCAGCTGCCAAACAGTATCTGTGCAATAACTTGAAAACGATTTGACGAAATCTTTTCAAATTTACATATGTTGTTTCCTGTGACAAAATGAAGGTCAAGGTCGATTTTCACGATTTTAGCTTTTATCATTGTTGAGTTGTAGTCCTTTAAGTAGCGACTAGTGATACATAGATTGATTTTGGCCTTTCTATTTCTGAACCTTACAAGAACTCATTTATTTTTTTTAATTTGATCTTGTTCGATGGTGCAGATTTGCAAATATCATTTTCATGCAAGAAAATCCGGTTTGCTGTCAATCTGACAGTCTTTTGTTGTTAAATAATCTGAGTTTATTTAAGGATTTTAATGAAACTTGATATGCTATTCCAAATAGATTCCCTGTGTAAAAAATATTTGTTGCCACCATTTAGGAAATGGCGGCCCAAATACATGTATGCTTGGATGTTAACACACTATATATTCGCCTGCTGTCAAAATTTTCAAAAAATTGAGATCCTATATAAATGAATTGCTTTGTTTGCATCAGTATTCATTTTTGTTTCTGTGCCTCACACAAAAATATACACAGATACCATGCTGACCTGTCAATTTTCTAGAATAAAATTTACATGAAAGCTTTATATCAGAAAGGCCTTTGAAGAGTTCGATAATGAGTGCGGATTAATATTTTTACAGGAGTAATGCCCTTGGAAAAAGAAACTATTTCGAAACTTGCACTGCAAGCATAGTACATTCTTGTAGGACATTTTTGAAAAGTTTAAGAGAAAATCCAAAAATGATTATCATACCCCAAATCTAGGATTTCGGGTACAATTTAACACAACTCCTTCGCCAGTCAGCATGATGATTCCTGCAACCAATATTTCCGTCACTTTTTCCTCAGGTATTTCATACATATTTGGTCAGCAGCTTGACAGTGATGAGGTTTATTTGTGAAACATTGATACTGGAGATGTATTTTTTTTTAAATTAGTATAAAGAGTAAACATTGCATTTACCAGATTGTTTAAGTCCACTGACTTGATTGTACACATAAATAATCCTGAAATAGTAAATTATTTTCTGTGTTTATTTGTGTGTATTCATTTTTCGTTTTGAGAAATCAAAAAGGAAAAACAAGAAAACGAAAGTGTTTTCATTTTTTCATATTAGATTTCTCAAAAACCAAAAACAAAACCAAAAGTGTTTTTCGTTTTTTAGTTTTTGACAACTTAAAACAAAATACTTCAAATATACGTTTTTTATTTAGAATCCCACTATATTCTCACCAAGTACTAAATTAATGGCTAAAATTTTTTTTATAAAGTATTGCATAAATGAGAAAATTACTGTCACTGCAATTTACAAAATCTTTCACTTTTGCAGCAAAATATCAATATCAATATTCTGTATGTCGAAAAGTATAAAAAGTCATACATAAAAACAGTGCAGATGAAAGCTAAATATTTTATTGCAGATATATTCTCGACACAAGAAAAATCTATTTGTCAAGATGAAAAAAATTCATTTTAAGTGAAGGACACAAAATATACAGAAACATATTCTGAATGTCTACACTGCATGGTGAATGGTCAACAAATTTTTATAACTGCGTACTTGAAAATACATTAAGGAAGGGGTAATCCATAATATATGTGTAATTTAGGTTTTAGACAGGGTATATAATGTGACATTCCCTGATGAGGGTTTATATTCCCTTCGCTGAAATTATTACATAGAATGAAATGCTGACAGTCCCTGCTGAGGGTTTGTATTCCCTTCACCTCCGTCTCAGGGAATATAAAATCTCAGCCGGAAATGTTACATTTATATACCCTGTCTGAGACCTGAATAACATATAATATACATATATATATGTAGGACTCAAATCTATAGTGGGTTCCAGATCTATGGCAGATTTCAAATCTATGGCAAATATGATGTCACAAACGCCATACAAATCATAAATCTATGGCAGTTTTTTGTTCTCTCCAAATCTATGGCATTTTTTTGTTTTCTCCAAATCTATGGCTGATTTTGAAATTGCGTAACTGTCCGGGGAAAAGAGTAAACTATAGCGTCACAAAAATAACGTCATACAGAATTAATTACCCAGGACTCACAGAGTTTTACAAACAAATACACAGGGAAACACTTTCCGCTTTCCCTCGTGATGGTTTAAAGGAAGATGAGACCTTTTATCAAGAGAGGGGACAATATGTGCTGTACCGTCTTAATCCCGCAATGAATAAAGGCACCATTGTTTTTAGAAGCGAACATTTCAGGAAAGGAATTATAGTTAATATTATAGCGTCTATGGCTGACAAAGTAATTATCAAGTGAGGGATGAAATCACAGGATACCACTTTGACTTTAATCGTTGTCAATTAAAAAAGATTTATTAAGGCCCAAATAAATATTATGTAAAAAGCAAAAAAAAAATTATTCACACTGCAATTTGGTTTGTTAAAGGAATTTCATTTTGACTAGATTGTTAAATGACTGGGTTAAACAGGTGTCATGCACAGAGTAGGAAATGCTTATTCTCCCGGGCACATCATTTCACCCCTAAAGTTTGATTCAGTGTATATCACTTCCTCACTTAGGAACAATATGGTCGCTATCACGATTTAGTTTACCATAATGGAAGGTCCATTTCACAAATGGTTATGAATATGCACCCGTTGTCATACTCCTAATCTGTTTTGTGAGTACTGACCTTTACTTACTGCTGGCTTTTTCGTTGCCTTTGGACATTGCGACCGGTGCCGCATTCATATCATGCCATAGATTTGGAAACTAGAAAATCTGCCATAGATTAGGTCACTAGAAAATTTGCCAAAGATTTGGTTTTAAAAAAATCTGCCATAGATTTGGGATAGTAAGACGTCATATTTACCATAGATTAGGAATTTGCCATAGATCTGGAACCTGGATGTGAGTCCTACATATATATTGCAGAATCTATACTATCATCTTTTGAAAGGATGGAAATCTAAGATGATTGGAATTGATGACTAATGTCCATCAGCCAATATAACACACATATTCAGGATGATATTCTAATGTATACATAGTATGAATAAAACATGGTATTTTATGTTGTAATGTTACACTACTGTCTCAGGTTAGGGTGAAGGTTGGCACCTGTTAAAAAGTTTAAACCCGCTGTATTTTTATGCACTTGTCCTAAGTCAGGAGCCTGTTGTTCAGTGGTTGTCGTTTGTTGGTGTGGTTCATAGGTGTTTCTCGTTTCTCGTTTTTTATATAGATTAGACCGTTGGTTTTCCTGTTTGAATTGTTTTACACTAGTCATTTTGGGGCCTTTTATAGCTTGCTGTTCGGTGTGAGCCAAGGCTCCATGTTGAAGGCCGTACTTTGACCTATAACTGTTAACTTTTTATACATTGTGACTTGGATGGAGAGTTGTCTCATTGGCACTCGTACCACATCTTCTTATTTATATAGAAAAGATGTTGAAACATTTTTACTTTGCCATTGTATTTTGAACCCCTAGCATGGCTTCTCTATATCTATACATGATTTCGTGCTTACATCACAGCTAAAGATTGACCAATTAGATAATTAAATTGTGTTTATCTATTTAAAAAACAGAGTTGAAGCTTGTCAAATCCACAGGTTTTACCATATATAATAATACAAAATTAAAAATCAATTTGTTTTCATTATGTTCAACAATGGCAAAGGAGATTCACAGAAATTGGTAGACACGATTATTGAGGGCAATTACACCTATAAGAAGTTAATTGACCATCACAATTCAACTTATTTGTAACTCTATTGCAAAATGGGTAAAAATCGTCATTTAAGGACAACAATAACGATATAAGGAGTCAAATATTGGGAAATGTAGTCATTCAAAGGGCAATAACTTATTTAAGGCTTTTTACTAATGATTTAAAAAATGTTTGTAGATCATGTCAAGCTGATCATTTTTAATATTTACAGTTACTCTCTATTCGATATTGCAAAAAACTCAAATATAGATAAAATCATCTTTCAAGACCAAGGACTTTATGAAGTAAAGGCTGACGTTTTCAGTCACTTTGACATGTTTTCTGTTCTTTACCAGCATTGGTTTTTACAGTTCTCTATTTGTAATAGGTGAACAGTGAAACTTTAACTTGATTACCACAATATAAATGTGTGCAGATGCAAAAGCGTGTAATTAGTCCTTGCAAAATGTTTATGATTTGCCTTATTGAATACATAGAAAATTTCCTTATATGTCGTCAACTTGTTATCTTTTTATAAGAGTTTTTATTGTTTAGCATACCAATTAAATGTTATTGTTAATGACAAATTATTACAACAGTCATCATAATTGAAACGTTTGCAAAAGAATTGTTTAATGTTGGTCTTTTTCTAAGTCAAAACATGCAATGTTAAGCTAAAATCCAAGGGGACCCATTACCATAGCAACTGGGACATATACAAATTTCCTGTCACCATTTTTATATGTTTACCAATTGCTATCAACAAACAAAATTTCAAGAAAATATGAGACTTGGTGGCTGGTTACAGAGAACGCTATTAATTACACATGTTAGTTACATAGTTTATTTTTTAATAAAAATATATCCTACTTCCACAATATCGTTTTTAGTTTTAACTTGACAAATACTTTTTGCATCTGCATATGTGTTATGTAATTTGTCTTTGATATAATTTTATACTAATTCAGGTTTTTATTCTTTTTTCTTATTTCTCTCTAGGAACTATTTGTGGAAAAGACAATTGACATAATGATGAAAATGATTAGACCTCCCAGAACAGATGTTTTATCACCCAGTGAAGCTGTATTGCTATACTCTATATTCTCAGTCTTACAGACATTACTTGAATATAGTCCCAAAATAGCCAATTATATCAAATCTCATTATCATGAAGAATTTAAGTAAGTTTATTCATAATTATTACACCTACTCGTAATATAGAGAGCATACTGGAATACCCTTTCCCATCTATCTGTTTATCTCATTTACCCAATATCTGTTGTGCAGTAGACTTTTATCTGTAAATTTGACTCAAAGAGTTAGGCTTATACATGTTACACATGAATATAATATATAAATAAGAAGATGTGGTATAATTGCCAATAAGAAAACTTTCCACCAGAGACCAAATGACAACTATATTAGGATTTAGCAATGATGGAAACCCATACCTCATAGCTATAAAAGGCCTTGAAATGAAAAATGTAAAACAATACAAACAAGAAAACTAACTGCCTGATTTAAGTACAAAACAATAAACGAAATACAAATATATACAACAACAAACAACAACCACTGTATTACAGGGTCCTGACTTGGGGCAGGTACATACAGAACATTTCCTATGTTTGTTTGTTCATTCAGTTGTTTATTCCTTCTTTTCTTGTATGGTATGATATGGTCATTATCTCCGTCTGTCCATCCGAAACACATCAATACTCATTGATCTTTTTACAAAAAGCTTTCATAATTGGTAGGGTTATTTGTTGAAAATATTCTCTTGACTGGCAATAACTCCTTAAGGGGTCATTCAATGTTTCGGTTAGATAGGCATTTTGTAGATCTTGTATTTCTAATCATTTTTGCCTTACCAGTTTCTACCTATCTAACATAGTTTTTAAGTTAAAAGGCAAAATATGAAAATTAGCAAAAATCGTATAAAAAAGCTATATTGTCAGTTTGATTTGACAATTTTAATGGGAGTTATGGGACTTTGACCATTTTTTTAGTATTGTAACAATGACACCTTGTGTATGCAACCCTCCTAGTCCGCTTTATAGAAAATCTCATACTTGGTACAACTGTTTGCCATTATGTGTAGTTAAAAATATTGTACATGTACTGCCATTTTCATTTGGTCAATTTTACAGGAGTAATGGGACTTTGACTAATTTTTAGAGAATGGTGTTAATTACACCTTGTGAATGCAGCTCCTGAGACCTTTATACACAGAGCTCTTATAATTGGTACTACTTTTTGCCCTCATGTGTAGTTGACCATTAAGTACCACCATTTTTAGCTCACCTGGCCATCAATTGGCGTCCATTGTCGTCCTCTGTCATCCTCTGACGTTGTCGACGTAAACCTTTTCGAAGATCTTCTCCTCTCGAACTACTGTACTAATTTCAGCCAAACCTTATCTAGTATATAAAATTTTTGTTGTTGTTGAGCATGCAACATTTATATCGCGAAAGCGAGACATAGCAATCCTAGATTCCGGCGTCGGCGGCGTCAACATTTAGGTTCAGTCTTTTTTTTTTTAGACATCAATAACTTTGTCAAACCTTCATGGAATTTTATGAAATTTGGACAGCAGCTTGTTTATGACCAAAAGACAGTATCCAGAGTATATTTATTTTCATTTTTCGTATTTTACTGATAAATGGACTTCGTTTTTTTTACAGTTAACAAGTCTGAGGTTAACGTTTTTCAGTCATCAATAACTTTGTCAAACCTTCATGGAACTTGATGAAATTTGGACAGAAGCTAAGTTATGACCAAAACACAGTATCCAGATTAAAATTTTGAAAATATTTACTTTCATTTTTCTGTATTTAACTGATATATGGACTTATTTTTTTTTACAGTTAACAAGTAGATACAGTCTTGGGTTAAATTTTATGAAACTTTAACAGAAGTTTTTTTTATGATTAAGAGATAATGTCTGAAGCAAACTTTTGAAATCATATATTTTTCATTTTCAGTATTTTTCTGATAGATGGACTTAGTTTTTTTACAGTTAACATTTACAGACAGTCCGGGATTAAACTTTATTGACATGATAAATTTGTAAACCTTCATGGATTATTATTAAACTTGGACAGAAGCTTATCTTCAAGACCATGAAATAGCATCTAAAGATAAAGTTTGATTTTTTAATTCTGTATTTTAGTGATAAATGGACTCACTTTTTAAGTCAACATTACACTTTTACACTGACAGCAGCAATCACAGGCGAAACACAATTTTTCAGTCAGTCAACAAACATGGCCCCCATGGCTAAAAAGAGATCATATGGGTAAAATGCATTAATTGTCTTGTATCTCAAAATCTATATTTCCTCAGATAGCATTTTCTCATACTTTGCGAAAATGGTAGATTTTACCAAGCTTTTTTCTAAGACATAATGAAAAGTATGGGTCACCATGCTATTTTTCAAGCTATAAGTCGTACAAAATTGGGTGCATAGATTATTCATGAAAATACACTATTTTGTGAGAAAAAAAAAAATCTATGAGATAGAATTTACTGAGTAGCATCACCACCCGAAGAGGTGGAAAAAACAAATGTGAAGTCAGGGTTAGGCCAAAGTCTCCTTTTTATCTCACCCTGCCCAATGGGCCAAGTGAGCTTTTCTCATCACTTGGCATCCATTGTCCATCGTCCGTCATCTTCCGTTAACTTTAACAAAAATCTTCTCCTCTGAAACTACTGGGCCAAATTTAACCAAACTTGGCCACAATCATTATTGGGGTATCTAGTTTAAAAAATAGAACATAGGGGTAAAATGCAAGTTTTGTCTATTATTTTGAAAACCGTTATAAATAGAGAATTATAGGAGTTATTGCCCTTAAATGACAAATTTTACCTTTTTTTTTTCATTTTGCCTATTATCTTGAAAACTTTAATAGATAGAGAGAAACTTTAAATCGCAAAAATGATCAGCAAGACAAATTCTACAAATAATTCAACATGGTCGAAATCTTCAGTTGACTCCTTATTAGAGTTATTGCCCTTTGATGATGATTTTTTACCAATTTTTTGCGTTTTGCCTTATATCTTAAAAACTATAATAGATAGATAGAAACTTAAATAAGCAAAAATGATCAGCAAGACAAGTTCTACAAATAAGTATGCATGGTGGAAATCATCAGTAGACTCCTTATTAGAGTTATTGCCCTTTGATGATGATTTTTTACCAATTTTTTGCGTTTTTGCCTTATATCTTAAAAACTATAATAGATAAATAGAAACTTAAGTAAGCAAAAATGATCAGCAAGACAAGTTCTACAAATAAGTATGCATGGTGAAAATCGGCAGTAGACTCCTTATTAGAGTTATTGTCCTTTGATGATGATTTTTACCATTTTTTTAACTGGATTTTCGGAGGAAATATTGGTTATTGATTTGGGGATGTACGGCGGGCTGGCAGTGTCTCTTCAATAACATGAAAACGCTGTGATGATTTTTTTTCAAATTTAGATATGTTGTTACTTGTGACTAAATGAAGGTCAAGTTCAATTTTCACGAATTTAGTATTTCTCCTTTTTGAGTTATCGCCATTTTTAATATCCAAAAGTGGTATTTTTAAATATTTTTCTCTTGTTATCATATTATGACTAAGTGTATGGTAAATGTCTTATCTCACAATAAAAATTGGAGTGACAGATTTATTTGAACATTTTCTATTTCCTAAGTGGTGATGATTATAAGCTATATTATTAAACATTTTGAAGTTAATTACATTATTAATTATTAATTATGTAATGTTAGAGTACTATGTTAAACAGATTTGCAAGTAGGATTTTCATTATTAATTAGATCTGGGAAATATCTTAGCATATGATAATCATTGGAGTGACAGATTTATTTGAAAATTTTCTGTTTCCTGATAAGATCTGTAGGACTGTATATATAAAGTTTGAAATTTACTAGTAGGACTGTATAAATGAGGTTTGAAATTAACTGTTCATTATTAGACATTTTGTAGATAATTAAAGTCTCCCTAAACCATATATATTCTTACTTGACCCCTTCAATTTGAGAATGTGCTTTTATCTTGTAAACGGTCAAGATCCCCACCCTGAAACCATATACATTCTTGTATGGGACAATAAAACAAATCAAATGTAATAAAAGGCGAGTCCCCTGGGGTCACCCCACCCCCTCCTGTTTGAGAACTTGTAAACGGTCAAGATCCCCACCCGAAACCATATATATTCTTGTATGGGACAATAAAACAAATCAAATGAAATATAGGGGAAGTCCAGGGGGTCACCCCCACCCTCCTTCTTTTTGAAAACTTGTAAACGGTCAAGATCCCCACCCCGAAACCATATATTGTCTTGTATGGTACTATAAAACAAATCAAATGAAATAAAAGGCGAGTCCCCTGGAGTCACCCCCACCCCCTCCTGTTTGAGAACTTGTAAATGGTTGAGATCCCCACCCCTAAACCATATATATTCTTGTATGGGACAATAAAACAAATCAAATGAAATAAAGGAGAAGTCCATGGGGGTAACCCCCCCCCCCCCCCCCCTTCTTTTTGAAAACTTGTAAACGGTGGAGATCCCCACCCCTAAACCATATATATTCTTGTATGGGACAATAAAACAAATCAAATGAAATAAAAGGTGAGTCCCCTGGAGTCACCCCCACCACCTCCTGTTTGAGAACTTGTAAACGGTTGAGATCCCCACCCCTAAACCATATATATTCTTGTATGGGACAATAAAACAAATCAAATGAAATTGAGGGGAAATCCCCTGGGGTAACTCCCACCCCCCTTCTTTTTGATAACTTGTAAACGGTCAAGATCCCCACTCCAAAAACCATATATATTCTTGTATGGGACAATAAAACAAATCAAATGAAATAAAAGTAAGTCCCCTGGGGTCACCCAACCCACTGCCTGTTTAAGAACTTGTAAACGGTCGAGATCCCCACCCCTAAACCATATATATTCTTGTATGGGACAATAAAACAAATCATAGGAAATAAAAGGGCGAGTCCCCTAGGGATCACACACACCCCCCCCCCCCCCTCCCTCTTTGAGAACTTGTAAACGGTCGAGATCTCCACCCCTAAACCATATATATTCCTGTTTGCCATTTCAAGAAGATTTGAATGACATACAGGGTCAATCCATAGGCGTCACTTATGCATATCACAAACCAAT